ACTAGGGGAGGGACAGCAGGGGGTGGGGAGTTGGGGAGGTATAACACGGGGAGAAATGCCAGATATAGGTGATAGGGAGGAAGGCAGCAAACCACATTGCCATATATGTACCTATACAACAATCTTGCATGTTCTTCACATGTACTCCACAACGTAAAACTCAGTAATATATATATATATATATATATTTTAAAAAGTAAAATGCTACAACTATCACTTTGAGGAAGAGTTTGACAGCTCCTAAAAGACTTAAAATACATCTACCCTATGACCTAAGTATTTACTCAAGAAAAATGGAAACGTATGTCTATACAAATTTTTTAAAAAATTTTAGAGAAAAATTTTAATTTTTGATTTTGAAATAAAAGTAGACAGGGGTTTTCATCGTGTTTCCAGGCTGGTCTCAAACTTCTGGGCTCAAATGATCTGCCAGCCTTGGCAATACACTAATACTAGTCTTATACACTAATATTCATAGTGGCTCTACTTGTTAACAGTCCCAAACTGGAAAAATCCCAAATGCTTTATCCCAAATGCCCAAATGGATATAGTATAACATATACATGCAATAGGATACTGCTCAGCAATAAAATGAATGAAAATCAAAACAGCTATGCTAAGTAAAAGAAACCTGACAAAAAAAGGTACTGCATCATTCCATGTTTATAAAATTCTTAAAAATACAGACTAATCTATGGTGACAGAAAGTAGATCAGTGGTTGTCTGGGGATGGGACAAGGAGGGATGGGAAGGATCACAAAACAGCAATCCAACTGAGGCCACCATGCTATAAGGAAATCCAAACCAGCCCACACATTGAAACTACATAAAGAAATCTTCATGAGACTACATGAAAAAAAGAGATAGCCTGCCAATCCCTAGCTGCTCAGTCCCCAGCTACTATAGCTCTAGCAACTAAGCAGATGCAACCACGAGACAGCTGCATGATAACTGCCTAGCAAGGCCCTCACAAATTCCTGACTCACAGAAACTACGAGAAATACTAAAATGTTATTTGTGGTTTCAAGCCACTAAGTTTTGGCAGATTCATCACATAGCAACAGCAGGCAGAACGGACCATCAGAACTAGCTTTGTATGTGATTCTCAGTCACTTCCAGTAGCTCAGATTTCTCAAATTATTCCCAACACCCTGCTATCTTCTACCTTCTCCTACCACTTCCTGAAAATTCTACTGTGCTATCTTAAGTAATCAACAAAATCCCACTCTTTAACCTCTGAATCATCTCTTCATTTCTTGCTCTAAGTAAAATCTAGCTCTCCCTGAGGATGTCTTTTCCTTTGAAGCCATCTCAAATGACAGGTGTTTCTCTTCTCTCCTCCATACTCTTCATATCCCTGTCCCTACCAGAGGTGTGGAGAAGAAATCTTCCCTGTTCCTTACTTGCACTTCCAGATTATGACGATTCTTCTCTAAAAATTCCCAGCTTTCAAAATCCTGACAAAAATTAGCCAGGCATGGTGGTCAGCATCTGTAGTTCCAGCTACTTGGGAGGCTGAAGTGGGAGAATCATTTGGACCTGGGAAGAGGTTGTGGTGAGCTGTGATCATGCCACTGCACTCCCACCTGGGCAACAGAAAGGGACCCTGTCTCAAAAAAAAAAAAAAAAGGAAAATCTTGTCACCAGACTCAGTCTATTGTTGCTTCCTATTGCAGTAATCTACAGTCTCCTGAGTCACTCTTTCTCATTCCTTAACATTTACATTGCAGTTCTCTCTCCAACACTACTCCTGTCATAATTTTTGGTGACTTAAATATCCATGTAGATGATCTCTTTAACTACCCTATATGTGCAGGTCTCTAAACTCCTCTCCACCACAATCTTGTACATCCCCCGATATGGTTTGACTCTGTTTTCCCATCCAAATCTCATCCTGAATTGTGATCCCCAGGGCTGGAGGTGGGCCTGGTAGGAGGTGAATGGATCGTGTGGGTGATTTCTAATGACTTAACACCATGCCTCTAGTGCTGTCTCCTGATAAGCATTCTCACAAGATCTGGTTGTTAGAAGGTAAAACAAAACAAAACAAAGAAAGTATGTAGCACATCCCCCTTCTCTCTCTCTCTCTCTCTCCTGTTGGCCATGTGAAGACTGTGCCTGCTTCCCCTTCACCTTCCACCATGATTGTAAGTTTCCTTAGGCTTCCACAGAAGAAGCCTGTACAGTCTGCAGAACTATGAGCCAATTAAACCTCTTATCTTTATAAATACCTGGTCTCAGATATGTCTTAGTAGCAGTGCAAGAATGAACTGACACATCCCCCAATCTCAGCTACTCACTTCTTTTTTTGTTTTGTTTTTTGAGACTGAGTCTTTCTTACTCTGTCCCCAGGCTGGAGTGCAGTGGTGCGATCTTGGCTCATTGCAACCTCCACCTCCCCAGTTCAAGTGATTCTCCTGCCTCAGCTGCCCGAGTAGCTGGGACTACGGGCACGAGCCACCACACCCAGCAAATTTTTTTATTTTTAGTAGAGACGGGGTTTCACCACGTTGGCCAGGATGGTCTCAATCTCTTGACCTCGTGATCTGCCTGCTTCAGCCTCCCAAAGTGCTGGGACTACAGGCATAAGCCACCACGCCCAGCCACTACTCATTCACTTCTACAGTATTTATTTATTATAACCAATAACCAAAACCTCTTCATAAATGCAGTTTCAAGAATCTCACTCTAACCACCACCTTCTAGGCTCTGCAGCTTACTCCTATTAGTAGTTTGATGGGGACAATCATTCCACTTCACTAGGGCTGGCAATACATTGATCCTCCCACTTTTTAAACTGTCTTTCAGGGTCTTAAAGTCCTCACTTCCTTTCTTAGCCAGGTTAAATTCCATGGTCTTTGGTTCAATTCATTCACTTCAGAGGGAAAAAAAAAAAATTCCATTGTCAATCATTAAGATAACTCATTTGTACTTCCCCCCTCACTTCTTCATATCAACGTGGTAAAACTACAACCGTCTGAATTTCAACTCTCCATTTACTCTGTGGGTGTCCTCATATACGATCTTGCTATCTGGTCCCCTTCAACTCATGACCACAAATCTCTAGTAGGCCTTCATGTTGCCTAGCAACATTTCCATTTAATTGTCCTAGTCTAACCCTTGCCCCCTCTTCTAAATAACTATCTACTTGCCATCTTCTCTCTCCTCTCCCATCCTAGCATCCTAGTTGATAACCTTGCTTCTTTCACTAAGAGAACAGTAAGAATCAAGAGAACTTTCACAATCTCCTGCCATCATATCTGCCCATTCACATATCACACATGTGTAACTACATAGCTGTCAGCACAAGAACCAGCAATGTTTCCAACAAAGGCCAAATCCATCCCTTCTTACCTACCCTAGGACATTGTTCTAGCAATTCTCTTTCCGATATCAATTTTCCTATTCTTATCTTTCCTATCAATCCACAAACATGCTGAAACATGTTGCTTCCATCAGTAATCCCGGCACTTTGGAAGGCAGAGGTGAGAGGATCCATGATTTCAAGGCTGCAGTGATTCACGATTGTCCCACTGCATCCGGGCAAAGAAGCAAGATGCCCTGTCTTAAACAGACAAACACACACACACACACACACACACACACACACATTAAAATCCCTTTTAACTCACTTCCCCCTCCATTTATTGCCCGATTTCTCTACTCTCCATTTATAATAAAATTTTGTGGTGGCTCGCTCCTTTAGACGCAGCTACTCCAAAGGCTGAAGCAGGAGAGTCGCTTGAGGCCAAGAGATCGATGCTGCAATGACCTATGATCAGCTGCTGCACTCCAGCCTGGGCAACAGGGAGTGACCTTGTCTCTAAAAAAAAAAAAAAACAAAACTTTTTAAAAAATAAAACTCCTTCATACGTCTACAGATGTTTTTGTTTAAGACAGGGTCTGGCAAGGCCGGGTGCGGTGGCTCAAGCCTGTAATCCCAGCACTTTGGGAGGCCGAGGCGGGTGGATCACGAGGTCAAGAGATCGAGACCATCCTGGTCAACACGGTGAAACCCTGTCTCTACTAAAAATACAAAAAATTAGCTGGGCATGGTGGCACGTGCCTGTAATCCCAGCTACTCAGGAGGCTGAGGCAGGAGAATTGCCTGAACCCAGGAGGCGGAGGTTGTGGTGAGCTGAGATCGCGCCATTGCACTCCAGCCTGGGTAACAAGAGTGAAACTCCGGCTCAAAAAAAAAAAAAAAAAAAGACAGGGTCTGGCTCAGTCGCCCAGGCTGGAGTGCAGTGGCACAATCACAGCTCAGAGCAGCCTCCACCTCCCTGAGCTTTCCAAGGCCTGAACCTTCCAAGTAGCTGGGACCACAGGCGGGCACCACAAAGCCAATCTAATTTTTGTATTTTTAATTTCTGTAGACTTGGAGTCAAACTATGTTGCCCAGGCTGGTCAAATTTTGCCTTGAATTTCTCTTCTCCTACTCTCTCACTCCAACATCACCCCCCGCCATACTATGCCCAACACTGAACTGCTGAAAAATCTGCTCTACCGGCAATCTTATTCCCATCTCAGCACATCTCAGTAAAAATCAACTTTATCTTTTCAACTATTCAGGAAAACCTTCATCATCGAATCTATCTAAAAAACCTGTTGCCTCCGATTTGGAAATATATCCAGAATCCAAACACTTTTAACTCTGTTAATAACGTCTTGATCTAAAGTTTGGATAATTTTAAGAGACTCCTAACTGGTTTCCCAGCTTCACCCTGGCCTAATGCCCGCACCTCCGTCACATCCGCCAGAGAGGAGTGGACAAAATAAATTACAGCTAAGTCGCAACAGGGCCTCGACTCGAGGCCATCAAGGCGCTGAAACTGCTCGACGAAGCTTATAGATAAGGTTCCCAGGTAAAGAAGTGGGAAAAGACGTAGGCGAACGCCGACCACAACTCCAGTGAGCGGATCCAGTTGATGCTGTCCCGCGGCTGGGAAAGAAGCGTGGTGAGAGCGCCGATACTGAGGTTACACTGATCACGACCTCACCTGGCCGGTGCCGCGCCGGAACAGCACGGAATCCTCCTGCTCCGGGACGCCGCCGCCACTGCCGCCGCTGCTCATCGCCATAGCAAACCTGCCGGTGCGCAGCGTGGGGGGGGGCGGGGGGGCAGGGGGGAGAACCTCCTTTCTTAAACGACTTCCGCCCCAAGGGGCTTCTGGGAGCGGAACAGCACGGTGGCCTGGAGGGCCACTTGTAGTAACTTCTCACGTTTTCTACGTTTGGTTATCGCCCTCCCACCTTTGTGGAGTGTTTTCTCTCAAACCTTTCATTTCACGGTGTTATATTTCCCAATCTTAATTTTATTTTATTTTATTTTTTGAGACGGAGTTTCGCTCTTGTTGCCCAGGCTGGAGTGCAGTGGCGCGTTCTCGGCTAACCGCAACCTCCGCCCCCCTGGTTCAAGCGATTCTCCTGCCTCAGCCTCTCAAGTAGCTGGAATTCCAGGCATAAGCCACCACGCCAGTTTCTTTTGTATTTTGTATTTTTAGTAGAGACAGGGTTTCTCCATGTTGGTAAGGCTGGTCTCAAACTCCCGACCTCAGACGATCCGCCCACCTCGGGCTCCCGAAATTCTGGGATTACAGGCGTGAGCCACGGCGCCCGGCATTTCTTTTTTTTTTTTTTTTCTTTTGAGATGGGGTCCCACTCTGTTCCAAGAGTACAATGGCGCCATTGCCATCTCGGCTTATTGCAGCCTTGACCTCCCGAGATCAAGCCATCCTCCCGCCTCAGCCTCCCGAGTAGCTGGGATTGCAGGCACCCGCCACCACGCCCCGCTAATTTTTGTAATTTTAGTAGAGACAGGGTCTCACCATGTTGGCCAAGCCAGTCTCAAACTACTGACCTCAAGTGATCCACCCGCCTCAGCCTTCCAAAGTGCTAAGATTACACGCATGAGCCACCTTGCCCAGCGTGTGTGTGTGTGTGTGTGTGTGTGTGTGTGTGTGTGTATTTTTTTTTTTTTTCCAGCCTGTCTCCCAGGCTGGAGTGCAGTGGCAGGATCTTGGCTCACTGCAACTTCTGCCTCCCAGGTTCAAGTAATTCTTCTGCCTCAGCCTCCTGAGTAGCTGGCATTACAGGCGCCTACCACCACACGTGGCTAATTTTTATATTTTAGTGGAGTTGGGGTTTCACTGTGTTGGCCAGGCTGCTCTGGAACTCCTGACCTCAGGTGATTCACCAGCCTCAGCCTCCCAAAATGCTGGGATTACAGGTGTGAGCCACCGTGCCCGGCCTCCAGTATTCTTTATTAAGCACCTAGGGTTGCCAAATGGCTCACATATACATACGTAGTATAATTTTTTTAAGTCCACCAAAGGAACTTTGAGGGCTTTTCCCAAAATACCCTTGGCTTCTATATTGTATATAAGAAATACCTGTGGAGGAAGGGGAGAATGGGATGATGTTGGCCAAATGTACAAAATTAGTAACTATGTAGAGGCAATATGTGGAATATAATCATTTTACAATGTATATCTAAACATCAAATTGTACAACTTAAATATATACAATTTTTAGGGGTTGGTTTGGTGGCTCGCGCCTGTAATCCCAGCACTTTGGGGAGGCTGAGGTGGGTGGATCACTTGAGGTCAGGAGTTCAAGACCAGCCTGGTCAACATGGTGAAACTCCCATTTCTACTGAAAATACAAAAATTAGCCTGACGTGGTGGCAGGTGCCTGTAATCCCAGCTACTTGGGAGGCCGAGGCAGGAGAATCATTTGAACTGGGAGGTGGAGGTTGCAGTGAGCCAAGAACATGCACTGCACTCCAGCCTGGGTGACAGAATGAGACTCCATCTCAAACAAATAAATAAATATATACAATTCTTATATGTCAAGAAAGTTAAATTGTCACAAGATTAAAAATTTTTAAAAATCTCATGTCAGAAGAGTAATGTGCCAAAGGTAAGTCTCACACATAAACATGAAAACCTAATTATCGGGCATGCTAGCTCATGTCTGTAATCCCAGCACTTTGGGAGGCTGAGGTGGGCAGATCATCTGAGGTCAGGAGTTCAAAACCAGCCTGACCAACATGGTGAAACACCGTCTCTACTAAATATACAAAATTAGCCAGGCATGGTGGTGCACACCTGTAATCTCAGCTACTTGAGAGGCTGAGGCAGGAGAATTGCTTGAACCTGAGAGGCGAAGGCTACAGTGAGCCGAGGCACTCCAGCCTGGGCAATAAGAGCAAAACTCCATCTAAAAAGAAAAGAAAGAAAACCCAATTATCACACTTATGAACTATGAAAGGATCAAGATAATTTAAAAGTCAAAAAGGCTGGGCATGGTAGCTCACATCTGTAATCCCAGCAATTTGGGAGGCCGAGGTGGGCGGATCACAAGGTCAGGAGTTTGAGACCTGCCCAGCTAACATGATGAAACCCAGTCTCTACTAAAAATAGGAAAACTAGCCAGGTGTGGTGGCACATACCTGTGATCCTAGCTACTCAGGAGGCTGTGGCAGGAGAATTGCTTGAACCCAGGAGGCAGAGGTTGCAATGAGCTGAGATCACGCCACTGCACGCCAGCCTGTGCAACAGAGCAAGACTCTGTCTCAGGAAAAAAAAAAAAAGTCAAAAGAAAATGTGTATTTTTGTAAAGATTGCTTAGATTTTTCTCAGTCATAAAAATTCTCACAATTGCATTTGATGTCAAAGTTTAAACAAATTACATGGATATATTCTGTGGTTAAAAAAAGAAATATAAACAAAATATGGAACCAGGTTTCTTTTTGTTTTTATTAATTTTTGAGATATAATTGACATACCATAAAATTCATTATTTTATTTTATTTATTTATTTTTGAGATGGAGTTTTGCTCTTGTTGCCCAGGCTGAAGTGTAATGGCGCAATCTTGGCTCACCACAACCTCTGCCTCCCTGGGTTCAAATGATTCTCCTGCCTCAGCCTTTGAGTAGCTGGGATTACAGGCATGCACCACCATGTCCGGCTAATTTTGTATTTTTAGCAGAGAAGGGGTTTCACCATGTTGGTCAGGCTGGTCTCGAACTACTGACTTCAGGTGATCCACCTGCCTCAGCCTCCCAAAATGCTGGGATTACAGGCGCAAGCCACCGCAAATTCATTTTAGATCACACAAGTGAGTGGTAGATTGAGTAGAAACCTTAGTATATTCACAAGGTTGTACAACCATCACTACTATACAACTCCAAAGTTTAATCACCCACCAAAAAAACCTCTGTATCCTTTAGTAGTGCGCTGCCATGCCCAGGTATTTTCTGGGAGAGAACAGGGTCTCCCCGTGTTGTCCAGACTGGTCTCAAACTTGGAGGCTTAAGCAATCCTCCCGCTTTGGCCTCCCAAAGTGCTAGGATTACAGGTATGAGCCACTGTGCCCAGGCCTGAGTTTCTATATTTATAAAAGTTATTTCATGTGATAGACAAATTATTCAAAATATGAGATAAACTGCCAAAAGAAACCATTTCACCAGATCTGAAGGCACTTAATGTAAATGCTGAATTTAACTTCATGTACTGGAATCAGTCTTTTTGCATATGTAATTTTCATACCAAAAATCTCTCTTCAGTGACTCTTGGAAATTTCTCATGATGAAATAAAAGTTCAAATGATGCCAGGGGGCTCACACCTGTAATCCCAGCACTTTGGGAGGCTGAGGCAGGTGGATCACCTGAAGTCAGCAGTTCGAGACCAGCCTAGCTAACATGGCGAAACTGCATCTCTAAAGGTATGAAAGTCAGCCAGGCGTGGTGATACATGCCTGTAATCTCAGTTACTAGGCTGAGGCACAAGAATCACTTGAACCTGGGAGGCAGAGGTTGCAATGAGCTGAGATGGCACCGTTGCAATGAGCTGAGATGGCACCACTGCACTTCAGCCTGTGAAGCAAGACTCTGTCTCAAAAAAAAAAAGGAGGGGGGGGCCCGGTATGATGGCTCATGCCTGTAATCCTAGCACTTTCGAAGGCTGAAGGGGGGAGGATCATTTGAGCCTGGGTGTTCGAGACCAGCATGGGCAACATGGTGAGGCCCCATCTCTACAAAAATAAATTAGCAAGCTGGGCGAAGTGGCTCATACCTGTAATCTTAGCACTTTGGGAGGCCAAGGCGGAGGGATCACCTGAGGTCAGGAGTTTGAGACCAGCCTGGCCAACATGGCAAAACCCTGTCTCTACTAAAAATACAAAAATTAGCCAGGCATGGTGACGTGCGCCTGTTGTCGCAGCTACTTGGAAGGCTGAGGCAGAAGGCTCACCTGAACCCAGGAGGTGGAGGTTGCAGTAAGCCAAGATCGCACCACTGCACTCCATCCTGGGTAAGAGAGCAAGACTGTGTCTCAAAAAATAAATAAATAAATTAGCTGGGCATGGTGGTGTGGGCCTGTGATCCCAGCTACTCAGGAGGCTGAGGCAGAAGGATTACTTGAGCCCAGGAGGTCAAAGGCTGCAGTGAGCCATGTTTTTGCCACCCTGCTTCAGCCTGGGCAACACAGCAGTTTCAAAAACAAACCAAAACAACGGTAGTACCTACAGGTGAAGATTGCATATAATAAAGATTGTAAAGCACAGAGAAAAACTGGACCGTTTACCAAAAAGAAAATCCAAATGTCCACTAGATATCTGAGAAGATGCCCAAACTCTACGGCCAAGGAATTACAATTTTATTTCATTTTTTTTCTTTTTTGAGACACCTGTGGGACTTTATTAGATGAACAGACCCCAGCTCCAGCCACAGGCTTGGACCGGCGAGCTGGGTGTGCCCTCAGACACCCCAGCCAGGTTCTCTGTCTCTCAGCCACGGCCTGAGGTTTTCAGGGTCATAAGTATGTGCAGGGTGAGCACAGGCCGGCCACAAAAGGAAACATTGTTTAGGCCGCCCCACCGGAGTCTGGTTTTGGGAGTCCCCCAACACTTGTCTCTGCTGTGGGATATTTCATTTTTTTTTTATGACGGAATTTCACTCTGCCACCTAGGCTGGAGTGCAATGGCGTGATCTCAGCTCACCGAAACCCTCTGCCTCCCAGGTTCAAGTGATTCTCCTGCCTCAGCCTCCCCAGTAGCTGGGATTACAGGTGCACGCCACCACGCCCAGCTAGTTTTTTTTGTATTTTTAGTAGAGACAGGGTTTCACCATGTTGGCCAGGCTGGTCTTGAACTGGTGACCTCAAGTGATGCACCAGCTTTGGCCTCCCAAAGTGCTGGGATTACAGCCATGAGCTATGACGCCAAGCAGGAATTACAAATTAAAAACAAAGGTAACA